GGAGTAGTTTCGAGGCGGAACTCATGCATGACCCAATCAGTTTTTCTTCCTTTAGGAGCTCTGCCTTGGTAGAAAACTAGGGTTTTCCTCATTCCCACAAGACAGCTTCCTTTTCTCATGATTGCCCTATCTTTTCCCGTTGCCTTCCAATATCCCGATATTGTCGCCCTGTTTGTTCGCAGTCCCGTCGCGTATTTTCTGTCACGTTGGCTGTAGAAGTACCATTCCTTCCCTCCAACACATGCCACTTCTGCACATTTAATTAATTTATAATGGAATTTCCACACTATTAGTCTAGCTACCAAATAGATATTTATATATAGATAAATGTCCATGAAAGTAAGCTAATGAAAATTAAATAAACTAATAATACATAAATATTATTTATACAATTAGGAACTTATTACATGTACTAATCACGTAGAAGCGGAGCTAGGATTTGAACTTTATGAGTTCAGATTCGCAATTCTACCATATTTCATCTTATTTAGTGGGTTCAAAATTTATTATTTATATATATTTACTATTTTTAGGTAAAAATATAGAGTACGAGCGAAAGTTATGTATTCAAATAAACTCATAGTCTCTATACTAGATACGCCTTTGTTGTCATGATCCAACTCCATGGCACGAATTATCCTCTTTGGGCCTAGGTCAGCACGAATTTATCTTTCTGGCTATGCCACATCGATTCCAAAAGCGCGTGTTCCATATGAACTTGTGTTGTCTTTATAAAACTCTTCACTTTTATCTCTCATTCCGATGTGGGATTCGCCTAAGCTAACACATATATCTATTNNNAGACGTCACAGGTACATTTCTTGATAAATATTAATTAATAATATGATAAAAATGGTTACTAACCTACTATAACAATTTTTGTACTATAGTGTATAAGTTAGTATCTTCAAATTTTAGTGCAAGTTTTATGTAATCATTAATTAATTCTATATCATAATAAAAATTTCTCAACTCATGCATGAATAATCAAGAGAAGATGAGACAAATAATGTAGGATAGACAATAAGGAAAAAAAAAAGGATAAGAAAATGAAAAGGAAAAAAGGAATATGTCTATATCATGAGCATTATCGAGAAATGCTATGTTAAAAAAGGAGGGGGGACCTGTTGTTTTTGGACAAAATGGCCATGGCTGTTGTGGCACCACCATATATGACTCACTCTTTTTAGGCCATGATGATGAACTATATCCCAAAATGGAGACTTAATTATTGAGGGACATATTTTGGCAAATGGCTTAGGTTAAAGTCTTAAAGATGTTGATGGAAATATTACAAGTTCAAAGCACCACAGTATATACTGTTCCTTTGAAAATAGAAATGTAAAACAAAAAAACTTTTCTTGCAAAGTTAGAAAATTAAGTTGATGATATTGACAAGATAGCTTTAGAATTACACGGGTAAAATTATGACAAGAATTCTTACTTTCTCAACTCAATTGGATTGGAACATAAATGTACACGCGTGTGGTTGACACGAGGAAGATGGTTACTTTAATTTGCATCTTGTTATCTCTATCGTTGTCACCATCTTTTGGTTGAGAACAATACCAATTAATACTGTCAATTTCTTTAAAAGTTGATTGAATGAGAAATCTTATATCTCACAAAATTTTCAATTATACATCTAAAACTTCAGTTCTGTATGAATACCTATAAAAATTATTCTTACGGCCACTTTGAAAATCGATTTTTTTTTTCTGTACATAACACGTACTTCGAATGGTTGAATATTCTGGAGGAGTGTTTTTTATTATTCTTAAAAAAGATAAAAATCAGATATACGAATAATATATAGGAAAAACTATAAACTAGATCAACCAAAAAAGAAAATACAAAAAAAAAAAAAAAGTCCCATTAATCGATGAGACAGATACATGCAACACCGATCTATCTAAGAACATACTTTTTCTTTTCCTTACTCTTATATTTTGTTATTAGTTTTTCTCCTTATGTATCGTCTGATTATTTGGAAAATGATTTGCAGAAGCAGAATTTATATTATATGCTTTAATAAACTCCGCCACTATGTGTTGATTGATTTATTTAGTTATTAAAAGGAAGAAGGAAATGTGCTGAAGTAGTTACATGCTAATTAATGTTCTTTGGTTACTTATTTTGACAGATGAATGATATTTGAGGAAAAGTCAAGCTATATTGGGGAAATAGTTTGTGAGCGTTTAATATACGCAGTGTGAACAAACAAAGCACAAAGGAAATTTGTTTGCAGGAATTCAATCTTGAAATTATACTGTTAAGTGTTAGTGTTAAGGAAGAAGTCAGTTTAAATCTTTTCCAATTTTTAGCAGTATGAGATTCTTAATTTCTTATCCACGAAAAATAGAAAAATAAAATAAAATTATGCATGACTTTAGACCAATCCGGTAGCTATTACTTCATCTACAGAGGCAAACCAAAAATTGTACAGAGAAAATTAACAAAAAAGATCTCCATCACAGTTACGTTGCTGAAATTAAAATCGAAGAACTCTTAATTAATTAATCAAAATATCTTATATATGAGACATGGCAAGCATCAACAAAAACAGATTAAAATTAACATCATCTCAAAATAGTGTCTTTCATATATATATATATCCAACCTTAATATTAATTTAAGATGTGAATTTGATGACATAAGTCTGCAAAATAAACCTGAATTCTTTAGAGAAGAAATACGATGAGAGAGAAAGAATAAAGTACCAGGAATCTCCCAAGGCTCGGATTTGTTAAGGTCAACTTCGATGAGAAGAGGGTAGTGTCGGTCGGATTCAGAACCAGAACCAGCAACCTTGTTCATTAAGTAATCGCAAATAAGTTCTTCATCTCTGGGATGGAATCTGAATCCTGGTGGTAATTTGGATTCCACCATACTCAGGCTGCTGCTACTCATTTTGAATAAGAAGAGGAAGCTAAGAGACAAGTGTATTAAAGTCTATATTCAAAGCCAAAGGTGGAGCTGGTAGATCATATAAAATCAAAATATCAGATTTCCTATTACAACGCCAAATGCTACTCTACTTCATCTATATATAAGCACTACTTCATACTCCCTATATTTATTTTATTATTTATTTACTAAAGAAAGAAATTTAATTTCTATGGTATATGACCAAATTATCCTTCAAATTTATGATTTTAAATAAGTATTTTGTGTTATTTATGTGGCTAGCTATATAAAGACACGTCATAAAAGTAAATTTAAACTTTTTAAATAAATAATATTTTTTTTAGAACATACTAAATAAACAATCATATAAAATAGAAGAGAGAGAGAGAGCAGTATTAAAGACTTATTATTATTATTATTTCTATCTATTGAGTAGGAAAAATACATTCTTTTGTTAAATAAAATATTTTGTTTTAACTAAAAATAAAATCAAGTGGTTAAGTCAACCAATAATTCCGTGTAATTAAAAGGGTTCTGTGTGGTTTGAACTTCGAAGAGGATTCCTTGGCCCCACGTCTGATGATGACGTGGCTCGCCAATGGTTGCCAACCTACTGACGTGTCCTTGAGAACTGAGTCATTGCCTACTTGTATTTTGTGATATGCTCTTGACCAATCCATAAAATCATCCTAATTTATTCCTGAAATATAACTAATTAACAGGCCAAACTTCATGTGGCTGAATATGTGCTATATATTTTGCTAATTTCAAATTACTACCGCGCCTATATAGGTGAAAGAAAAACTGTTAATTCACAGCTCTGAAAGTCGAAGACAAATTGAGGAAAGCATACAAAGCACCAAATAAGAAAGAGATTTAAATAACTTAAATTTTAATTTTAAAATAATAATAATAATAATAATAATAATAATAATAATAATAATAATAATAATAATAATAATAATAAATCAACACCTGAGGTTAGATTGAAAACTAACTGATTTGATTCTCGTACTCAATTTTCTTAATTTTTAATTTTTTTTTAGACGAAGGTAATAATAAGTTTTCTTAGTTTGGCTTTAGAAAGCGAAAAGGAGATTATGATTCTGGGATGGAATATGTGCCTTATTGTGTTCTTTCTCGATACCAAGCAAGCAATATCAAAATTGACAAAGTCTCTTTAGGTAAATAAACCTGTTTACGTTGAGGGAATAACCTTATACAATTACTTGATAGGAGAAGTGGGGCAAAAATTTATTCTCACCCGATATTTATATTATACAAATAGATGCATGATATTATTTGATTATAGGCTATTTTCACTTAGTCATGATTAATAAATATATTTTTCTTATGCTATTAAATTATTTAACCATGATTAATATAATTTGATATAAAATGGCGTTGTGGCTAAAAAAATGACAAAGAGAGTTGGCACCGAACCATATGTAGCCTCCATCTGGAAAATTGAGGTTTCTTTCAGATATTATAAGAATTAAAAGGCCCACCACTGTACTTAACTGTTTAATGACGTGCCCAATGAAAGGATGACGTTTTGGACTGGCTTGTTTTGGAAGCATTAGTTTTGGATTGGAGCCCATCTTTTACTTTGAAAATCCATATTCCTCTCCATCACCATTTCTTTGGTCCTTTTTTCTTCATTTTTTTTTACCTTCAATAGTAAGTCCCTAGCATTGGCAATACTAAATATGTCCACTATTTGACCATCTTTTTCAAAAGGAAAAAAAAAAGGAAAGAAAAGAAAGGACAATAATGATTAATTAGGGCTTTCACTTAAGAGTCGAAGGAAGTATTTTTGTTGGTACATGACCAAACTTTACCTTCCAATAAGAGTGAGAGATTCTTTTTGAAGAACAGTTCTAGTCATTTTCAATGTTCAAGCCAATGGATAGTAAGTGCCAAAATTAAAGACGGACTGTTAATGACAACATTACCTCTTTGAGTGTATATAAATTATAATGACGCCATTTGTATTAACATAGACACTGATTAAACCTTTTAATTTCTAGTGCAAGGTAAGATCTTTTGGCTTAAAGACACAACGCACTAGGAAAAAAATATATAAGAAAAACGTTTTCCATTAAAACACAAGTCAGTCTTCCCCGTAGCCAGAAAACAAATTAAAGCGATCGAGTGGAGTTGAATGAACACAGTTGATAGGGGCAAATTTTGATGATTGAAATAATAGGCAACCTAATCGTTCAACTTAACAAATATCGAATTAATGATATGAAGACTAATAATTCAAGACTTAAAACGGGTCGCTTTAGCTAATAAAGAGTGGAGTGTGAGTGTTTGGCAATTATGGCCACGCTCAAAAGTTTAACTAGCAAAAATCTATATATAAAAAAAAGCAGAGGCAAAAGCATATTATTAAGATAAGTGGCATAACCACAAAAGGTCAAGTGCATTGTTAAGACAAAATAAACTACCTTTTTAACTTAAAAAAACATTTTTAAATTTTAAATTAATTTGTTATTCTATTTGAATTAATAAATATAGATATCTTATAATTAGCTATAATTAAAAAAAACGAAAATATTAATCAGAAAAATACCTATTCAAGTTGGGGAATAATTTCAATTTGGAGTTTTAAAATTATTATAAAATAAAAAACGGAAATAAAGAAATAAAAAATAGCCAATTCAAATTGGGGTGTGGTTTCAAGTTGGATTTTTAAAATTATTTTAAAATAAAAAAACGNAAAAATATTACATTATTTAAATTTTTAATAAACTACAAAATCTGAAAACTAATCAAATAAGTATCACAGTAGAAAGGAATGTACGAAAAGAGGGGATGGAGATAATGTTATGCTATTTACATTTTTAATTAATTAAAAAATAAAATATAAATAAATAACACTCAAGAAAATTATCAATAGTACTAAGTACTTGCTAATTCAATAATAAAAATAAAAAGGAACAAATAATTTATTTGATTACTATATCATGTGTATCCTTTAATTTTTTATAGATTGTATTATATTTCTGCACACTATATTAAATAATAAAATATAATTAAAATTTATTAAATTAATATGATATATTATATCATAATTTTATAAAATTAACATTCTGTTAAATTTTCACACATCGTGCGGGTTCTCATAATAGTACATCCTAAAAAGGAAATTATAAGCAGGAGAAGATAAGATAATGAAAACGATTGATGATAAAAGTATTACGAGGAAAGCTAGCAAAGACCAAGCTCCATATCACCTAATATTTGGATGAATTTAAGATATATGTACTAATAGTGTTATAATTATTTACAAAATCAAGATACTTCTTAGGTAATTACAAATAAATTTTTCAATAAATACTAATTAGTAATCTAGTATAATTGGTTACTAATGTGCTATTAAGGATTGAAATGCACTGATACTGTAAAGGAATTTTATCAGTGCCATGTATATAATTTAGATCCTATTTGATACTCCCGAGACCTTGGATCCCCTCAATGGTTTCCTTAGTTCAAAGATTATAGAAGCCACGCAATAATACTCTTACTTTATATATGATCGTAAACCATGAAGAATTATTCATTCTAAAACAGACCATCTTAGTCAATGCAGTAAGAACCAGAGGTTTGTTATAACATCATGAGCGAAGACAGAGAATGAATACTATTTTGCGGTTTGCGGAATGGATGTGCTAACCATCGATTGACCGCAATATTGTCCAAAATTTACCAATTTTCTAGAGCAATTTGCGAGTAATCTGCGAACCGCAGAACTGATATGCAATTGGCACATCCGATTTGTAAGCCGAATAGGAGGCGGTACAAATTTTTAGTGTCTGTATTAAACTAGAAAACTAGGATTTGTTGTAATCTTTTCTATATTTGTTAGGAATTCTAGGGCTAGCTGTTTGCTTGTATATATACTCTTCAATATCAATGGAAGAAGCACGCTTTTTATTCCACTCCAAACCTAATTCTCTTTGTATTTTTGGCATGGTGGTCGAAGATGGTAGTAAGGGAATTAGTCTCAGCGGGAGCAGCGCTGGTGATTGAATAAACTAAATAAAGACAATCACTACTTATGATATAACATCGATAACAACCATGTAATATTGATAACGCATGTGCAATTATATTAAAAGGACATAACTATGATGAATGAGCTCGATCCATGAAGAATGCCTTGAGGGCGGAAAAAAAAAGTTTGGGTTTATAGATAGAACGACTAGGAGGCCTGATGAACAGTCTCCAGATCTTGAAGACTGGTGGACTATCAACTTATTGTTAGTGCCCTTGATATGAAACACAATCGAACCCACTCTGTGTTCAACCATATCATATGAAAGTGGCCAAAAACTTGTAGGCAAGTATTAGAGAACGATTTCATGTGGTTAATGGTCCACAACTACGACAATTAAAATATGAACTTGTTGAATAGAAACAGAAGGGTATGACAATAGTTAATTGCTATGAAAAACTCATGATGTTATGGGAAGTACTTGCTAACTTCGAGCAGATACCGACTTACAAGTGTGAAAAGTGTGTGTGTGATCTGGGTGATCTCTTAGAAAAGAAAAGGGGAAGAGGAGAAGGTGCATCTCTTTCTTATGGGATTGGACAAGGCCTTGTATAAAACTATGAGATCGAATCTGCTTGCTCAATACTCGTTGCTGCCTTCGAACAGGGTTTACTCAAAATGTGTACAAGATGAACAACTAAAGATCGTGGCACGAGAAACAGACGAGTGTAGTGAAGTGAGGGCCTTTTTTGTACAAGCTAAGGCAGAACTTCCTATATATGTCATATGAAGAAAGGGACAAGATTATAGTGTGTTCTTAATGCAAGAGCACATGGCATGAATATGAAAACTATTTTCAACTTATTGGGTATCTAGTTTGGTGAGAAAACGTCTCTGAGGAGACGGAAAGACCGAAGAACTTGGTAGAGGGCAACGGTAATAATAAAACGGTGGAATAAATGGGGGACGTGGGCGAGGTGGCGTGAATGCTGCACAAGCCGTATGAGGAGAAAATCCTGACGGGGCTGTACTGAAGCAGAAAAATCTGGACCTCTATGACCGAGCAACGAGCAATGATAGACCATTTCTACTATATTGAACAACCAAAAGTTACGT